CATCCAAATGATAATTTTATTAGTATTTTACATCACAGTTCATCCAAATTTATTTTAAATTAGCTGTAAAGGGAAAAAAAAGCTTATCTTTTTTTATGATAAACATATACAAAAACAAGCTCTCTTTCATCAAATTTTTAAAAATAACTAAGAACTTAATAACTTTTAGGAAACTTTCCTAGTTAAAAAAAAAAAAAAGTATATTTTAGGTGTCGATGATTCTTGTCAAAATGTATAAATGAAATTTCGTACAATAAAAGTGAAATGACTGATAAATAACAGACTACAGCCCGTAGGTGTGTTGTCATTAAAACTATTCCCGCAATTAGTATTTAAAATTACTAATCCCCAAAAAAATTATCTGCGTAAAAAGCTCTAAATTAGGTACATTTTGTAAAAGTTAAACCGTACAAGTATATAATAGTATTTTTCAAACCCGTTCAAGGGGAAAACCTAACATGGTTATTTTTACGTATCTTTTAAATTCTTGTACTACGACACACAACGCGACTCGACGTCACAGACAAGCTCGACTCTACGCGCTTGTTATATACGTGTATTTTTATTTTTTATATATTTCACCTACACTTTGATTTAAATAGCTAAAGGAATTCGCACATAAACGCTGAGTTTGCCGTTCGATCAACACAAAAAATACCTTTGCAAACTTCTTTTTCACGTATATACCTAATACACAATCACGTAAGTAAACACAATTTTCTTTAAGCTCGAGTTCAAACGGAAAATTGCTGTAAGGTTTAAGTTCAGACGCAATCAAACAATAACGCGTACACTCTCTGTTATCTCTTTTGCGCAAGATAATAATCGAAGGCTCAATAACGTCGAAAGCGTGGAAAAAAAAAAAAAGACACACACGCACGTAACCCATCGCAGAAAATTTGCAGGACGTGCGCGCGTGTGGGTGTACGTCGTGCGAACGTGATTGAAAGAAGAAATATAAAACACTGGTAAGTATCGGTTTTCGCGCGATAGTAAAAAGCCAACTATTATTTACACATCTTGAAACGCAACGGACGACAATAAACACCTCGTTAACGCGATCCTTTATTCTTCTTTGCGGGGGAGACGCAAAAGCCGGGACAACAAAAAATGTGTACCTAACTTGTAAACGCACGTCCCGAGAACCGGGAAGGAGAGAAAAACATCGCCAATAACCACAAAAACAAAGTCACTTCCTCCTCGTATTGCATCGCGTTTTATCTTTTCCGCGACACACATTTTTCCGATAAAATAAAACAAGGGAAAAAAAAGTCTGTACTCACCTGAATCGTGTAAAAAATCCTCCCCGCACGATCCTTCTCCGTCAAAGAGAGAACATGAAAAACAAACTTGGTCCCTCCCGGAACGCAGGATACGGTTTTCCAATATACCTTAAACGAGTCCCCTTTTTTTCGGAAGGCAAACGTCGCCGACGCCTGCCTCTAGCGCGGTCCAGCAGCACATCAGCCGAGCATATAATCACCAAAAATAAAAACAAGCGTCCACAGTATGTACATCCATCAGCTGAGAGCCGATCGACGATGAGAGAGAGAAAGAGAGAGAGAGAGAGATCTCCTTTTCGGAGCAGTTTCTCTTCTGCTAGCTACAGTGGCGCCGTTGGATGCTGTTAAATCTGTATACCGCACTGCAAACAAAAAACAAATAATATCTCTGTCAACTGTACCCTATACGTGTGTTATATACTTGCTCGATTTTGGCTGACACTACACAGCCCTTTCTAACAACACCGCATTTCAACACTATAATCGTACAAAGTAAATCTACAACGAGATTTTTCCACAACTGCAGCTGTTTTTGTTTTTTTTTTTTTTTTTTTTTTTGGTATTGGTATATAGGTTTATTATTTAGAGATACACGTATCGACATAATATCTCGCTTACATTGTCATTCTCAACACTGATGTGCTCGTTGAACCAAACAGTTGGATATCTATGATGATCTCGTCGTTGCTAGGACAGACAGCGGCAATAAAAAGGGTAAGTAACGTTGTGCCGTTTGTTTGAATATAATCTGCAACGAGAACACACGCACGCACACACACTCATGCACGCGGGGGTTGAACTTTGTCTTTTCCCATTGTTGTAATAATAAAACAAAACAACTGTTATACGCCGTGCAAGAGACTAGTAAGTAGGTAGGTATACGATAAAGGCAGTGTGTAAGCTGCAGGAAAGCAAAAAAAAAAAAAAAAAAAGTCGATAAAACCGCGCAGCTCCCGGCAGCGGCAGTAGCGACGTGGTCGAGGTGCGCTCGACAACTGCGGCTGTGGGAGGAACTTTTGGTCGAACCCCAGCGAACGAACAAACAAAAGTAAGTGTGTATTATACGCGGAGTCGCGGAGTCGCGGACGGCGTTTGTACACACACGCACTAGCTCGAAGCACACGAACGAGGGAGACGCAGCGGGGCCATAGGAAAGATATAATACGAAGAGAGCAAAAGAGATAGCATCCGATACGCACATTTATACATATGTATATAAGCGCACATTTGCGGGTGACGTAAGCCTCCACAACGAAGCGTGATGTCACACATCGCTCGGCGACGCTCTCTATCTCTTTATTGGTCTCCGCACCACCAGTGCATTGTTGTTGAAGCCCAGGTCTCTGATGGGGTCTATATACATACCTATATGCTGTGTGTGCCGTTTTTCTCTATCTGGTGGGGTATACTCATCTACATCGAGTACCTAAGATTATCTATAAAAATCGCGGTGATACTTTGCACGTATGATATACATGTTATTCATTTAGCTTTTTTCAAATTTTTCATAACTTCCGAAACTTTCGATCCGATATTTGTCTTTAAAACGCGCGTTATACTTGGACACCCGAGCAACCGTTTCGCTATATTTTTGTACATCATCTCGGTAAGGTAGCTCCCTTTCCGCCCACTTTTGACTGTACGTATCTATACCGATCAGCCAATACGTCGATTTTTCCCTACCCCGTCCCATCCTTCTTCATGTCCTGTTCCCAAGTGTCGAGAGCCCCTAAAGAAAGAACGTATGGCACTATAATGAAAAATAATAATAAAAAAACTGTATCAACCATCTTAGTTCTCCTTCCCGTCGTTTAGTTGTTCTGACGTATTATACGCATATATACAATACGCAATCGGTAGATCTGATCGCGTTATCGGTATCCCACACATGTATGTATACATCCGATCTAAAGATCGCGTTCGTTTACGTTCCACCGATTTATCTTTACCATCTTCCAAAGCGTGCATAAGAGTTGCTTGACCAAACGTATATAGATATATATGTATTTACGTTACAAAAGACACGCGATCGCGAATCTAAGATATACGCAGTTGGCGCATTTAACGATTTTTACGCTTTTGCTTCCAGGCTTACGCGTAAAGAATACCTAGTCATTAGAGCAGGGGACATTGTATTGCACGCACAATTGAGACGAGGATTGCGTAGTTTGACCGCTTGTGTATTTAAGTACATGGCACTATATGACTCTCGCACGTATTTTCTTTTTTATGATGCACACTGCAGCAATAAGTATCGAGATTTCCTTTTTTTGCTTTTCAACGAGCCGATTGTTGTTGTCGCGTAATCCACAGTTCACCCATACAGGTACTGATTGTTGTTGTTATTGTGTGTTGTTTCGTCGGGAGCTTTCGATTGCCGATCGTTGATGTTTGATAAATTGCAGATGGGAAATTGCGATTTTATCCAACGAGTATCGAATCGTTCGTTTTTCAAAGTATTTAACAAAAATAAATTAGTTCAGATATAGCATTGGACCTTCGAAACAGTGCCGAGCTTTTTTACCGTTCCATCACCTATAGTTATCTCCTTGTGGATAAAAACTAATTGATGCATGTATGTACACGTGATTATTTACCCATACCATTGATAGCATCTGCACCGATAACTAAGTAAATATTTCATCCATATGATTTTGTCACTTCGTAATCGATGTTTTGTGACACAAATGCAATTTAAACAAAGTTATCTTTTATTAGTTACTTTTTACTTATCCAATGAGTCTAAAAAACAGAAATTTTGTTAAAGTCCATTATCTTTGCTAATCTTTAACTTCTAACATACATTCTCATCATCATTGAAAAAATGTCATTAATGCACACGAGTGTAAATAACGTACTTACACGATAAATTGACAAGATTGTATGAAAATGGAATGCTCCTGCATGTCTGATTAAACCGGATACCTTTATTGGCTGTGTCACTCGATGTTCTGATTGAAAAAATTTTACACTTTCTCCCTTTCAAAAGTGAAAGAAAATTAATAAAAATTTATAATAGTTTTTGGACATTTACTGTCTTGGTCATTAAAAAATCTCTGCTGTGGATGAAAACTCGATTATCTCGATCAACACGTTTGGATCTGGCGCCAAAAGAGTCGTTGAACGGATACAAAATAAAAAACAAACGTGGTTGGGGAAACAGAAAAAAAAAAAAACAAAGTATCGCGCGATGAATTTCAAATATATCTGAATTAATTTGTTTAAAATGATTTGAATATTCACGAATCAATGTATTCGGGAGATCAAAACTTTTCGTTAGCAAATACGTTTGCAGCTCCCGTTGTTGACACTGAACCTTTTCATAATGTGACCACGGATTCAAAGAATTGGTCAGTAAAAATGGCCACGGGAACCAATACAACGAGAAACATCATCTTCAACTTTTTCACCCGTAAAACGGTAAAATTAGTTTTTGGTTCCTCCATGCCTTCAAATGATTCAAATATGGAAACTCCGTCAATCAATAATTGGCTGAGTGGTTCACTTAATAATACTATACACTCGTCATCATCATCATCGGCACAAACCTGAATATATTCCATCAATATTTTTAACGTACCGAAAAGTAACGTTGATTAAGACTACATTGGCTAATTAAATACAATGAAAAATAAATTCCACGGTTAGTTTATTATTTTCGCGTCCTTTATGAGATAGGTACACTTGTGTATATTATGTACCAACTCCTTTCCAAAACTTGAATTGCGCCCTAAGGTATGATAAAGTTAAATTCACGCGTTCCTAAAATATACCTATATACGTGAGTATAGGTAAAAATCAATAAATTCGAATTCGAAGGTTTCGCCACCGGAGGTCGCGCGTCGGTAGAGCCTTAAAAAGCTTTGTCGCTGCCATGCAAGTGGTACGGTTGAGCCACGCTTATTTAAAAATTATGACTAAACGCCGTGCGCTTGTTGTATTAAACAAGAAAAAAAAAAAAAAATTCCTTCGTACAAAGGAACAATCGATTTTCATTGCCTCCATTGTGACGTCCTAATTATGCGCTGATTTACGAGCTGTTGAGCGTATACTGTTACTAACGACAAATTTATCGATCATCCAACTTTTAAATACTCCTCAAGTGATGGGGAGCCTATATAAATTTTCCAAAGCCGATCGCACAAAGTTACCTTGCCGATGTGGAGTAAAAGTTTTTCAATCGTTCATCGTCGCGCGTACAACGGAACGAGCGCAGGAATTTTCTCAATTTTTACGGACAGAACAAAATATTAATTCGTACGTATATCCATACACGTCTCGCAAATCGATCGAATCGGCAGAAATAGAAACGCGTGTGAGCCTCCCAAAAAAAGCGAGGCAACCAATGCGATACGTGTAATGTGAGTGTACGCGATTTTTTCTTCTTTTTTTTTTTTTTTATTTGTATACGTCTCTTCTTTGATCTCGTTTTAAACGCTCATTGACCGTGACGCAAAAACTGGCTCACCCTTGGAATCGCTACACATGTACCACAAAAAATACGCACAGTTAGATACAATATATAAAAAGTGATTTTCGCGCGATGACCAAATCAATATTATTAGCCGGCATATGAAGTAGGAGGAGGAGGAGGAGAGTATAATTATATCGGTGGCAGAGCGCACTTATATGCAAGAGTAAAAAAAAGAAAATGATACGTACTCGAAGACCTTTTTCCTCTCCCACAGATGTATGGTCGTGAGTTCATACGTTGGGGTCGACAAAGGATGACGAAAGCCGATGATGAATATGATTAATTTCTCCGCTTCGATTCATTTGCTTATCGATGGTTCGAATCACTTTTATTGTGACTCGATGAATCGCCGTGAGATGATTTTCTGGTTTTTCATTTTTTCGGTGGACGACGTTTGATTCGGTAAATCAGCCCGATGACGGCATTGATCGATAAAACGCGAATAATGTGTGTTGGTAAAAATTTCGTTCAAATTAAAAACTCACGATTAGGAGCGTCAAATTTTAATAACTTGTCAGAATTAAAAATAGCCAGTGCTTCGCGCGGGAAAGGGAGACAATCAACGATTTCCGCGCGATAAAAAAAAAAACAAAAAATTTTGGACTCGTAAAAGATGACCGCTATTTCATAAAAAAGTATAATTAGGTGCGTATAATATATGGAGGAGAATAGATTTTACAATGTCGTTGGCACTTCGCGAAGCGGCAGGAGTTTCGCGGGACGATAATTAATTTGTTTCAACTGCCGATTTTTCGTAAAATCCCTCGAAACGTTTATTCGAGAAATTTACCATCGCTATATCGGGTGCTCGCGTATATACAATACCGGTCGTCTTAATGGTCGAGCTTTTTCGGTGTATAATCGGTATATACTTACTATGTATGCGCTATTTCGAATAGTGACTTCATGTCGCGATTACATTATCCCCGGCGAGCTGCTTTTTAGATCATTAAGTTATCGATCTCCTTCCTGGAATGACGAAATATGCACACACATGTACATTTCGGCACTATGAAAAATTATTATTATTTGGATCGAGGTGTTGAAAAACAAAGTTTAATCGTTACGTTAACAGAAAATCGGTAACTTACGTCAGAGCTACACCTTTTTTTTTAGCACTATCAAATTTTCTTGTTTGATATATAAATGCCGTATGACGTGCCTATTATTATTCGCTCCAGTGTACTCGGATACGCTTGTTTTTCTATAAATCGGCAAGTGGTATAATCAAACTCCCGGTGGCATCTACAAAACTATTATTGATTTTTAATTATAATCAATCCTGTCGTAATCGAGCGGGAAATTTGCATAAAATAAAACGCGCGTGCCTTACACCCACGCGGCTCTTAACCAACATCACGATCGTGAAATTTATCGCAATTAAAGAAATCGGCGCTCACTTTTTCGGTCACTGGTTGTAGGCGTTCTCCTGGTTTTTTTTTTTTTTTTTTTTACTTTTATTCGCACTTCTTTTCCCTTGCGGTGCGTGACTCAGGGTACTTTGGACGCAAAAGGAGCCTTCGGAAGCGAGTTGTTGAAGGCTGCCCCGGCTGTACACGTTGTATCGATATGGAGAGAAAAAAAGAGATGAAGCGTTGACGCGAGGGAGCGCGGGCAGATGCCGGAGACTTCTTTGATTTTTGTATTTATATCGGCGTGACTGTACTTACGCGTGTACGTCAAACGGGAAGCGAGCTCCTTTTTTTTTTCCCCCTTCCTCCTTTCTTTTGGTTTGCTTTGTTTTCGGATCCATACATCGTGTCTCCGTCCTGCCATTTTTGGCCATTTTGGTCCTTTATTTACATCTTTTTTTTTTTTTTTTTTTTTCTTCCGACCTATTCCCACGTGCTTATGGAATAATGCACGCTCGTTTCGTCGAGTTAATTCCCGTAATGAAATTAAACGCGAAACGCATAACTCGAATACCATATATTAAACCTACTTCTCGGTGCTCTCATCGCAGAGGTATAAATGTTGTGAACCAAGTTCACGGCAAATTTAGATTAATTGATTAGATAACAATTATTGAGACGCGCAACGCGCACACCCACTTCACACTTCATTTTTTTTTTTTTTTTTTTACTTGCACATACACACAAGGTAAAACTAACAATCAACTCTTCGCATTAGCATTTTATCTGCACGCGGGTAAGTAGATTAAGCGCGATGTGTTGAACACGAGTGTGAGCCGCAGCGTTTTATTTGATCTGTCCATACATGAGTGAGTTTTTACATTTTTTGCTACGGATGCTGAATCTAAAGATTATTTTATTGAAATTAAAAAAAAGACAATTTTCACACGCTTCACAGTGGCTATTTAAGGTGAATTTTTTGTTTCAAAAAGAGATCGATAACTATACCTTACGACTGAACTAATGAAAGAACTTTCTGTTTTTTTCTTTCCTGTAGCATAAGTTGGAAATAATTAAAAATTTAAAAAAGTTAAAAAAAAAAA